ATGTGTCAACACATTCGTACACACAGCACTGTAATACACAAAGGTCTAAATACACACGAGACTTTCTGCTATAGACTGAAATGCGATCATGGCTGCGTTACAATATAATAAACAACGCTTACAAACGATACCATCCAGATGGGTATCCACGGCAATTGTAACAATTTTAATTGATCGAATATAACAATTCACCTTCGTTGTCTAGACACACCCTGATCAACAAAGGTCCTTAAACATATTCATAAAACCACATCAACACGATATGAAACATGCACCTCTTCGTATAAGTATATCTCGATCAACAATATATTATACTGTATTTCACAGGTAAGGCCGATAACTTGATCACAGTTTACAGGCCATTGGAAATGTGCAAAATCCTACTTCGGCTTAAGCACAATGGCCACATGAGATTAGGTTTGTTAGATATGAGGAGCGTTACATGCGAGAATAACTGAATGCAAGGAAGTTTATGAAGAAAATGTAAATGATTCTAGAGAGATTTCATAAATGGGAAGAATAATCTCAAACAGTGTGCCGTAGCAAATGCAAACAAATGGAATTAAATAAACTAAACTAATGTCTTCACTACACTCATTAAACATGGGGCCACTATTTAAAATATTATTAATAATTCCAAGCTTTTGGGGTGGAAACAGAAGGAATTAGAATTGAATGCGTTTTTTTTCAAAAGTATAACGTAATTCAGGGCATCGTGTGTGTATGTACAAAGCGGTGTGAATGCACATTTGTGTATGTATCTACACCACTGCGCATGCCCACTCGTGTGTGGGTGTGTGTACATGGGAGTGTATACTCGTGTATTGTTATAATTTTGTGTCGTACAAAGAATTGAGGGCAACGTGGTAATGAATGCGGCACCACAACAGGGAACTACAGGGATGCGACTCCCCGCTCGTGGTGCTAAATGAATGAAAACAGCGCCACTGAGCAGACAGAGCCCCGCCCCTACAGCTCGTGAGTGTGACGTAGTGAGTGTGACCAGCGGACTGCCACGATGCTGCCAGGTAAGGGTAAACTTGTGTGATGGAGATGCTTCACCTGAAACTCGCCTCCACACGTGTTCGCTATGAACATTGTAGCAATAAGGGACGATCAGTCATCTTTAACATATCAGGTCTTTATTGTTCTGCAAGTATATTAACGTTAAAACTCGTAGAAACACATGCACACTCGTGTGTGAATGTCTCCTCGTCCGTGTTTTTTAAAGGAAGGATATGGTTGCAATAACGTATGATCAGTCATCTTTAAAAACAAAGCAGATCTTTATTAATCTGCAAGCATTTTAAAGTTAAAACTCGCACCTATCCATCACCACCACCCATCAAATTAACACAGCTATAAATATAGATATGTAAATTGACACAAACATAACAGACACACAAATAAACAATCTCTTTCACGACTTAATAATAACATAGTCCATATTGTCCGTGCCAGGCTAGGTGCACACAGACAAATCCATTGCACAATAATTTACATGTAACTCAAATTCACACTTAGTACTACCACCTCACTCACTTAAACATAACTACATAGATTAAGAAAACCATTAATTTAATAGTAAATAAACCAACAAGATGGTGTTTATACGCTTGCAATTTAATGAATGGAATACAAGTTCATAATTCAAATTATACAAACATAAAAAATAATGAATATGAAGCCTGAGGCCGAGGTGTATGGCAGGCCTAACGGCCAGGCCTCCCTTCTGTCCTCGTCGCAGGAATGGCGACATCAAAGAGCACAAAGCAAGGGTGCAAATGTTGAATTTCTGTAGCGTAATTTAGACTGATTAGAGACTACAAACACTACGTACACGATGTAAACACAGCTACACAACGCACACACACTCGCCACACTTTCTCGACAAAACACGAACTGCACACTCTCACTCTGCCACACACTCTGCCACACTCTCTCTTTCTCACTAACTCAATGTCTATCACTAACTCACTGTCTCTCACTAAGTCACTGTCTCTCACTAAGTCACTGTCTCTCACTAACTCACTGTCTCTCACTAACTCTCACTAACTCACTGTCTCTCACTAACTCACTGTCTCTCACTCACTCACTGTCTCTCACTAACTCACTGTCTCATTCTATCACACTCACTGACTCACTCTGCCACACTCACTCAAGCTCTAACGCACTCAATCTCACACACACTTATTCACTCACACCCACTCAATCAATCTCTCACCCACTCACTCAATCTCTCACCCACTCACCCACTCGCTAATCTCTCACCCACTCACCCACTCACTCACCCACTCACCCACTCACCCACCCATTCACTCACCCACTCACCCACCCACTCACTCACCCACTCACCCACTCACTCAATCTCTCACCCACTCACCCACCCACTCACTCACTCTCTCACCTAATCACTCACTCAATCTCTCACCCACACACTCAATCTCTCACCCACCCACTCACCCATTCACTCACCCACTCACCCATTCACTCACCCACTCACTCACCCACTCACCCATTCACTCACCCACTCACCCATTCACTCACCCACCCACTCACCCATTCACTCACCCACTCACCCATTCACTCACCCACTCACTCACCCACTCACCCATTCACTCACCCATTCACTCACCCACTCACTCACCCACTCACCCATTCACTCACCCACTCACCCATTCACTCACCCACCCACTCACTCAATCTCTCACCCACTCACCCATTCACTCACCCACTCACCCACCCACCCACTCACTCACCCACTCACTCACTCACCCACTCACCCACCCACTCACCCATTCACTCAATCTCTCACCCACCCACGCACCCACTCACTCAATCTCTCACCCACTCACCTAATCTCTCACCCACTCACCTAATCTCTCACCCACTCACCCATTCACTCACTCACCCACCCTCTCACCCACTCACTCAATCTCTCACCCACTCACCCATTCACTCACCCTCGCTGTGTAGACCACGGAGTCTGAAGTCGAACCCAAGCCCTGCTGTTTCCGGTCCCGCGCACAACCAGCACTGCACCACGTGATGCGCCAGCCGGGATCGTGGGGGGCGGAGCCTCGCCCTAGTGACGTCACCTCTGTTACGTCACAGCCACGCCTCCACCCACAGTCGAGAGGAATGCACACGAGGGAGCAGCAGAAGAAGCCTTTTGAGAGCGAATCCTCAACGAGGTGAGCGACCCTGTTGATTTTACATTTCGACCACAAACTAAAGCTTCATTACTTTTATATGTTCATAATTCAATTTTCAGCAATCAAATTAGAAAAAAACGCCACTTTTTTCAAATTTTCTTGCTGTGGATTTCACACCTGATGACGATTGCTTGTGTTGCAGTCGAAACGTCGTGATAATTTTATTGTTTTATATTTTTATTATTTTATTGTTTCCCTTCTATGTGACTTCACTGAAAGAACCAAGAATATGAATCCCTGCAGTCACGAAAGCTTTAATTAAAAATTCTAATTAGAACTGTTAGATAGGATACTTGGCATTCTCTGAAATGTTGCTGTTACTGTCGTTGTTTAGACCCCAAGCGAGTCAGCATTTAAAACAAGCTTAACTAATCCGTTTAAATCTCATAGAATATTAATAACATGTATACAATTATTGTGTTCTGATTGCTGGTACAATTGTGCCCTACATTACATGTATTGAATGTTATTCAACATATGAGGAGGAGTCTGCCTTTAAGTTCAGACCCTAGCCACTGCCATAGTTGCCTCCAATCTGTGATGTCACAGCCACATGGGTGGTACCTCTGACATCAAGTGACCTACGACGTCATGCTCGTATTATAACAAATAATTAAAGTATGGTCATATGACCCTAATGACCCACAAGGCATATGGGTCCTCTATCAAGCAGTCGATTAATACAAATGGGCTGTACATGAACATGCATGTCGGGATTAGAGGTGAAATATCATTGTTAAGTCTGGTGATTATGTTTAATGGAATAGGCAGTTGGAATAAACATGTTCGTGTGGGTGGATGAGTGAGTGATCGGGCGCACACATGAGTGGGAAAACAAGCGAGTGAGTGGGCTTTTAAAGCAACAGTCACGATAGTCTTCTTGATTCTATCGGTAAAGTCACGTAGAAAGAAAATAATAAAATGATAAAAATAAAACATAATAAAATACAATGCTCACGACGTTTCGGCCACAACGCAAGCAGCCGTCCTCAGGTGAAGAATAGGGCTGTCGAAAAGACAGCGTCTGAATGAACACCACCAAGCTTGGCAGCGTATATTTAAGCTGGGTTAGAGTGGGAAGGGCGCCTTGACAAAGGTATTTGCATATCAATAGATGAATTTAACATATTTATGGAAAATGTATATATGGGATTAGTCACTACTTGTGAAATGCGTAGGAGGTGGGGGGGGGGGTCTCAAAGTCATATTATGCCATTGCATTATGTAGGATTAGCAGCAACAACAAAAGTCACGATAGTGTTTTAGTTTTGAAGCTTTCGTGACTGCAAGGATTCATACTCTTAGGTTTTTTTTCGGTAAAGTCACGTAGGGAAAAAAAATTAGCTTTTACAATATTTATAATAATATGAATAAAAAAGAATAACTCACGACGATTCGGAGGCAACACAAGCTTCCTTCATCAGGTGTAAAAAGGCACAGCAAAATAACTGTAGAATAACTGTAACATAACTGTAGTTATTTTGCCTTTTTACACCTAACTACAGTTATTTTGCTGTGCCTTTTTACACCTGATGAAGGAAGCTTGTGTTGCCTCCGAAACGTCGTGATATATTATTTTATTTCTATTATTATTTATATTTTTATCATTAATTATTTTTATTATTTATCTATTTTTACCTACGTGACTTTACCGAAAAAAACCTAAGAGTATAGTCACGATAGTGATTGGATTGATACAATGAGTGGTCAAATATGTATTAATTAGGAGGATGAGTGATTCAAAAGTTTGCTAAATCTGAGCGTTGTTCCAACCTCCCCAGGCCATCCAACTTCAAACAAAATCTACTCGTTCCCAACAACATGGACAGACAAATCACGTGGGCTGAGATCTTGGATGAATATGAGGGTAAGTCCCAGATACCTGCATCACATGGATTATATGCGGAGGAGGAGACTCCTTGATGAATTACTTTTCGTAGACATGGCTTGGTGGTAATGGGAAGACGTAATGATCGAGTGTGGCAAAGAGGATGGGTTTATATTTGAGTTGTTGCCATCTTTGTTCAAACTGGGGTCTCAAGCTTATGTAATTTACGATCTCTCCGCCCCCGCCCCCTCTGTATATTTAAGGCCTCGTCACAGAGACGACCTCTCTCTTTCTGCCAATACGTGTTCTCTCTCTGCGTGTCTTTGTGATGTCTGTCTGCTTGTGTGTCTGTCTATAGTTTTCTGGTTAGATTTTTGTTGCTATTTATTTTATACCTGATGATGATTGCTTGTGTTGCAATCGAAACGTCGTAGTATGCTATTATTTAATTTATTATTTTATCTTTATACGTGACTTAACCTAAAGAACCAAAGAATAATTCCTCCAGTCACGAAAGCTCCAAAATTGAGATTGCCGACAAAAACATGACTTGTAAAGTTTTACTGCCATGTGATGACTATTTTTCAATAGCAGGTCCTGTTGTGTGGTAAGCGGTAATTACTGGGATCTCAAAATTAGTTCTGTGAGACTCCATGTCCTTCGTTCTCTAATTAATAACTCGTACTTTGAATGCATTTTCTGTTCTTCATAGCCCGGGAGTCGGCGTGCCAGTCGACCACGTGGGGGGACGTTATGGATAAGGTGGACCCTTTCCCAGGCCAAAGTTACAAGAATCGCTCCCCAAAGGTGTGTATGGGTTCTAGATTTGAAGCTTTCGTGACTGCAAGGATTCATACTCTTAGTTATTTCGGTAAAGTCACGTAGGTATAAAATGAAATAAAAATTAATAAAAATAAAATAATAAAAATCACGACGTTTCGGAGGCAACACAAGTCTCCGTCCCAGGTGGGACCGTCACAGCTGAATTTGCTGTATCAAGTGAGGCAGGGATTCCAAGATGCAAGTTCTTAAATACAAGTTAAGGAGGGAGGAGGGGGGAGGAGCTTATCAGAATGTGGTAGCCAATGAATGGAACGTATTGGGAGGGGGGGCGGGGCTAAAAGAGAGCACGATGTGTATGGGGTCTGTGGGGTTAAAACACACGACATTCTCTCGACAACGAGCACACCATGTCACCTCACCAGCACACCAAAATATCACGACACCAACTCTCCCCATCACCTTCTCATCACACTACACGACCACCAATTCAATACACCATATTAGAGCCTCATCATGCCTCTATACCATCACAATACACCATCTCTCTAGAACATTCCACTACTTCTCCTCTCCATATCGCAACACCATGTCCCGACACCATCACCGCATCTCTTCACCGTCCCGCTCATGCAGGCACTTGAAGTGGCCATTTATTACCAATGAAGACAGAATGATATCAGGCAGTCACATTAATTATGTCTGTGATTTGATTGGAAGTTACCATTCCAGTTCCAAACTATGGGCGCTGCAGTGAAGTTTGTCCAGAGTTTGGGCTTCCAGATATTTATAATGGGACATTCTGTGAAAACTATTGCCAGTGATGATTATTGCCAACAATTGCTATGAAACCGCCACAATCGAGCAAAGTCTTGAGTGCATGCATGGGGTTTATGGGGATATATGAGGATGTGACATGTATTTTCATTCTATAGGAGTTGGGATATTTAGGGGTTAGTACTACACGTACAATGTGATACAAGTATTGATGGATAAGGCATTGTGTTAACAGCAGGTGATAGTGTATATTCAAGTGTGTACTAAGCAAGTTTGAATGACTGAATGTGGATGGCTGCATCTGTACATACATGTGTGAGTATGTTTTTTTGTTTGGGTTTATGTGCACGTCCACGTTTGCGTGCCTGTGGGTATGAATGTTTTCTTGCATGTGCATGTCTGAATGTTCTTTTGCTTATCTTTGCTTGATCAGAGGATAATTGGGGAGTTGAAGGACGTCAGCGGGATGAAGCATCTCCAGGAAAAGAACCTTAGCAAAGAAAGATGCACCATGGAAGAGGAGCGCCTCTTTGAGGTGCAGCGCATTGCCAGGGCGAAGTGCCGCACAGATGAGAAGTACTTCCGAGACTATCTCCTCAAGAAGCGCCTCATTCAAGTGAAGTACTTCATTGATGAGAAGCATCATCTCGAGATGATGTGTCCTGAGGAGAAGAATCTGGAGGAGGAGGAGAAGTGTCTCGCCAACGTGAAACGCGTCGAGGAGGAGAAGCGCCTTGAGCAGGAGCAGCGCCTTGCCAGCATTGCAACCATCACCACCACCGCTACCGCCGGCAACTCCACCCCCACCCCTGCCACCACCACCGCCACCACCACCACTGCCACCACTGCCACCGCCACCACCACCGCCACCACCACCCCCACTGCCACTGATGCTGTTGCCGCCACTGCCACAAAACCCGCCGCCACCACCACCGCCACCACCGCCACGACCGCCGTCACCACCGCCACCACAGCCACCACCGCCAACGCCACAACTGCCGCCACCGCATCCACCGCCACCACTGCCACTGACGCTGTTGCCGCCACTGCCACAAAACCCTCCGCCACCACTGCCACCTCCACCACTGCCATCACCACCACCGCCGCCACCACCACCACCGCAGTAACCACCACCGCCGCCACCACCGCCGCCACCACCACCGCCACCACCGCCGCCACCGACACCGCCGCCGCCACCACTACCACCGCCGCCACCACCACCACCGCTGCAACCACCACCGCCACCGCATCCACCTCTGACACTCCTGTACAGGGCCCGATTGCTCCAAGCTTTGGAGAAGAGGGCTTCCAAGCAGAGAAGATGGATAAGAAGACAGAGGTGGAACAGGAAGAGGAGAAGGTGGAGGAAGAGGTTGAGGAGGAACAGGAGGAGGGAATGGAGAAGACAGAGAATGGAGAGAAGATGGTGGTGGAGGATGAAGAGGAGGAGATGGAGGACGAGACAAAGCAGGAGGTGGAGGAGGTGCAGGTGGTGGAGGTGGTGATGCAGGGAAAGAAGAGGAAGCGAGGGGGCCTTGCTCGCGTGGCGAGAGCGATCACCTCCCTCCTCCGCCGCGTGCTGCTTTGTGGTGGCATGTCCACCCAGAGCCACTCCTGTAAAGAATAAGGTTCAATACCATTGTTGTTGCTGGCACTTTAAACTTTGTGAAATAAACCCATGATGACACAACATAACGTTGAATTGCTTGCAAGTGTAATAAAGGACTCGTTCACTGGGTCTGTCTCCGTTGTCCTTTATTTGGGTTCTTTACACTTGTCCCACACGGCCCTCGCTCAGAGCCTCCCCGCTTAGCAGCTCGACAGCTGCCTTCGCTCACGTAGCCTTTCGCGCTCCTGCAGCTCCGCTGTGCAGTCCTCCGGCTGCTCTCACTGCAGCTCCACCGCTGCTCCCTGTTCCCCCGTGCTCGTCACCGCTGGCCGACGGTGCCGAGTCTTACTGTGTGTGGCGATCTCGCCACTCTCCAACCTCCGCACTGTGTGGCCTCACTCTGTCTCTATTCCCAACACTCTCCCGTTTCTTCCGGTATCTCTCCCTTAAGACCTCATCCCTCTCTCTCACGTGACCTAACTCCTCCCCCCGTGACGTCATATCCGCGAGGCCGTTTATGCCCGCATTACACAAGTATACTACTGTTTGTATGTACATGGATCTGTACTTTTGTGTATGTCCACTCGTGTGTGGGTGTGTGTACATGGGAGTGTATATGTGTACTCGTGTATGATTATGCATTGGAACAAACAAATTGTTTTTATATTGTGTCGTACAAATAATTTAGGGGAAACGTGGTAGGAATGCGCCACCTCAACAGGGAACTACAGGGATGAGACTCCCCGCTCGTGGTGCTAAATGAATGAAAACAGCGCCACTGAGCAGACAGAGCCCCGCCCCTACAGCTCGTGAGTGTAACGTAGTGAGTGTGACCAGCGAACTGCCACGATGCTGCCAGGTAAGGGTAAACTTGTGTGATGGAGATGCTTCACCTGAAACTCGCCTCCACACGTGTTCGCTATGAACATTGTAACAATAAGGGACGATCAGTCATCTTTAACATAGCAGGTCTTTATTGTTCTGCAAGTATATTAACGTTAAAACTCGTAGAAACACATGCACACTCGTGTGTGAATGTACAACGCTGTATATACAGTCGTGTTTGGATGCACACTCGTGTGTGTATGTCTACTCGTCCGTGTTTTTTTTAAAGGAAAACTATGGTAGCAATAACGTACGATTAGTCATTTTTAAAAACAAATCAGGTCTTTATTAATCTGCAAGAAAACTCACGTTAATACTCGTATCGAAATCTTTATTAATACGCAGGCTCAAACAGGAAAGGAACTAGGCAAATTATTTCCCAATAGGAATTTAACAGTTAAAAGATATTCTTGAAATCAAACACGTAAACGTCGATTTCCCCTTTGACGTCCTTTTCGACTGAAGCCATTCGTCCAAAGTATAAAATTGTTGTCATTCTGAAATAAGTGAACACTTCTGGAACTCTACTTGTCCGTGTTTTTTCAAGGAAGGAAATGGTAGCAATAATGTACGATCAGTCATCTTTAAAAACAAATCAGGTCTTCATTGATCTGCAACAATATTAACGTTAAAACTCGCGTAAAAATCTTTATTAATTCGTTTTTCAAACAGTTAAGGAACTCGGAAAATTATTTCACTTTCAGAGGCCTCGTGGGCCGCTGTGGTGGCTACGAGACTTCCCTCCAGGACATTGCTCACATCCACCGCAGCGTTACCGTCCGTCACCGCCGATGAGGTAGCGGATTCTTTTCACGGAACTTTACTCGTGGATGGGGAATGCCAAACAACAGGGGGCTCTTCTTCTGAGAAAAAAAAAACGAATCAAGGGGGCGTGGGAGCGTGGCGTAAGGTGTGGAAAGCGCTAAGCCCCAGGCTACCGTGGGCACACCTCCCAATCAACGGGAGGCGAGGAGTGGTGGTTGCTCATGCATCCACCGAAGATGCATATAAGTCGAGTTAGATTCCTTCTCTGACCTCCTACATTATAATCCCACTATACTCGGATGTATGCATATGTATATATATATATTTGCGGACCTAGGGACGGATATGCGTACTGGGGGTGCGGGATTAGAATTGCACTATAATTATTAGGATCGCATTGTGGCCGCATTGTAATTTGCTGAATGTGCAATCTCAATGGATTGGAATAGCTATTTACAGTATTTATTAACAATTAACCGCACAATCCTAATCAAAACTTGTTGAGCATATTTATTTTATATTTATTGTGCCATTCAAATCCCGCAGCCCGCAGTTCGCATATAGATACATACACAATGCATTAATTCGAGCACAGTGTGATTCTATTACGGGATATTATGAAAGGCATATGACTAATCGGTCTTGCCTGCATCCCTGCAATGATGTTCACCTTCGGGGTAGGCATGAGCAACCACCACTCCTCGCCTGGGGCATACAGCTTCCCACAGCTCACCGCCACAGTCCCATGCCCCTTCGTTATTTTGTTCAGAAGAGCCACTCTCCCTGTTGTTTGGCATTCCCCTGCCACGAGTAAAGTTCTGTAAAAACAACCCCCTACCGCATCGGCGGACGGTAAAGCTGTGGTAACTGTGAGCAATGTTCCAGAGGGAATGCTCATAGCGATCACAGCGGCCCTCGAGGTCTCCGGACTGTTGCTGAGGGGCTGGTTACCCCTCCACATTCAATGCACTTACCGTGAAAACACGTGGAAAATGTGTCAACACATTCGTACACACAGCACTGTAATACACAAAGGTCTAAATACACACGAGACTTTCTGCTATAGACTGAAATGCGATCATGGCTGCGTTACAATATAATAAACAACGCTTACAAACGATACCATCCAGATGGGTATCCACGGCAATTGTAACAATTTTAATTGATCGAATATAACAATTCACCTTCGTTGTCTAGACACACCCTGATCAACAAAGGTCCTTAAACATATTCATAAAACCACATCAACACGATATGAAACATGCACCTCTTCGTATAAGTATATCTCGATCAACAATATATTATACTGTATTTCACAGGTAAGGCCGATAACTTGATCACAGTTTACAGGCCATTGGAAATGTGCAAAATCCTACTTCGGCTTAAGCACAATGGCCACATGAGATTAGGTTTGTTAGATATGAGGAGCGTTACATGCGAGAATAACTGAATGCAAGGAAGTTTATGAAGAAAATGTAAATGATTCTAGAGAGATTTCATAAATGGGAAGAATAATCTCAAACAGTGTGCCGTAGCAAATGCAAACAAATGGAATTAAATAAACTAAACTAATGTCTTCACTACACTCATTAAACATGGGGCCACTATTTAAAATATTATTAATAATTCCAAGCTTTTGGGGTGGAAACAGAAGGAATTAGAATTGAATGCGTTTTTTTTCAAAAGTATAACGTAATTCAGGGCATCGTGTGTGTATGTACAAAGCGGTGTGAATGCACATTTGTGTATGTATCTACACCACTGCGCATGCCCACTCGTGTGTGGGTGTGTGTACATGGGAGTGTATACTCGTGTATTGTTATAATTTTGTGTCGTACAAAGAATTGAGGGCAACGTGGTAATGAATGCGGCACCACAACAGGGAACTACAGGGATGCGACTCCCCGCTCGTGGTGCTAAATGAATGAAAACAGCGCCACTGAGCAGACAGAGCCCCGCCCCTACAGCTCGTGAGTGTGACGTAGTGAGTGTGACCAGCGGACTGCCACGATGCTGCCAGGTAAGGGTAAACTTGTGTGATGGAGATGCTTCACCTGAAACTCGCCTCCACACGTGTTCGCTATGAACATTGTAGCAATAAGGGACGATCAGTCATCTTTAACATATCAGGTCTTTATTGTTCTGCAAGTATATTAACGTTAAAACTCGTAGAAACACATGCACACTCGTGTGTGAATGTCTCCTCGTCCGTGTTTTTTAAAGGAAGGATATGGTTGCAATAACGTATGATCAGTCATCTTTAAAAACAAAGCAGATCTTTATTAATCTGCAAGCATTTTAAAGTTAAAACTCGCACCTATCCATCACCACCACCCATCAAATTAACACAGCTATAAATATAGATATGTAAATTGACACAAACATAACAGACACACAAATAAACAATCTCTTTCACGACTTAATAATAACATAGTCCATATTGTCCGTGCCAGGCTAGGTGCACACAGACAAATCCATTGCACAATAATTTACATGTAACTCAAATTCACACTTAGTACTACCACCTCACTCACTTAAACATAACTACATAGATTAAGAAAACCATTAATTTAATAGTAAATAAACCAACAAGATGGTGTTTATACGCTTGCAATTTAATGAATGGAATACAAGTTCATAATTCAAATTATACAAACATAAAAAATAATGAATATGAAGCCTGAGGCCGAGGTGTATGGCAGGCCTAACGGCCAGGCCTCCCTTCTGTCCTCGTCGCAGGAATGGCGACATCAAAGAGCACAAAGCAAGGGTGCAAATGTTGAATTTCTGTAGCGTAATTTAGACTGATTAGAGACTACAAACACTACGTACACGATGTAAACACAGCTACACAACGCACACACACTCGCCACACTTTCTCGACAAAACACGAACTGCACACTCTCACTCTGCCACACACTCTGCCACACTCTCTCTTTCTCACTAACTCAATGTCTATCACTAACTCACTGTCTCTCACTAAGTCACTGTCTCTCACTAAGTCACTGTCTCTCACTAACTCACTGTCTCTCACTAACTCTCACTAACTCACTGTCTCTCACTAACTCACTGTCTCTCACTCACTCACTGTCTCTCACTAACTCACTGTCTCTCACTAACTCACTGTCTCTCACTAACTCACTGTCTCTCACTAACTCACTGTCTCATTCTATCACACTCACTGACTCACTCTGCCACACTCACTCAAGCTCTAACGCACTCAATCTCACACACACTTATTCACTCACACCCACTCAATCAATCTCTCACCCACTCACTCAATCTCTCACCCACTCACCCACTCGCTAATCTCTCACCCACTCACCCACTCACTCACCCACTCACCCACTCACCCACCCATTCACTCACCCACTCACCCACCCACTCACTCACCCACTCACCCACTCACTCAATCTCTCACCCACTCACCCACCCACTCACTCACTCTCTCACCTAATCACTCACTCAATCTCTCACCCACACACTCAATCTCTCACCCACCCACTCACCCATTCACTCACCCACTCACCCATTCACTCACCCACTCACTCACCCACTCACCCATTCACTCACCCACTCACCCATTCACTCACCCACCCACTCACCCATTCACTCACCCACTCACCCATTCACTCACCCACTCACTCACCCACTCACCCATTCACTCACCCATTCACTCACCCACTCACTCACCCACTCACCCATTCACTCACCCACTCACCCATTCACTCACCCACCCACTCACTCAATCTCTCACCCACTCACCCATTCACTCACCCACTCACCCACCCACCCACTCACTCACCCACTCACCTCACTCACCCACTCACCCACCCACTCACCCATTCACTCAATCTCTCACCCACCCACGCACCCACTCACTCAATCTCTCACCCACTCACCTAATCTCTCACCCACTCACCTAATCTCTCACCCACTCACCCATTCACTCACTCACCCACCCTCTCACCCACTCACTCAATCTCTCACCCACTCACCCATTCACTCACCCTCGCTGTGTAGACCACGGAGTCTGAAGTCGAACCCAAGCCCTGCTGTTTCCGGTCCCGCGCACAACCAGCACTGCACCACGTGATGCGCCAGCCGGGATCGTGGGGGGCGGAGCCTCGCCCTAGTGACGTCACCTCTGTTACGTCACAGCCACGCCTCCACCCACAGTCGAGAGGAATGCACACGAGGGAGCAGCAGAAGAAGCCTTTTGAGAGCGAATCCTCAACGAGGTGAGCGACCCTGTTGATTTTACATTTCGACCACAAACTAAAGCTTCATTACTTTTATATGTTCATAATTCAATTTTCAGCAATCAAATTAGAAAAAAACGCCACTTTTTTCAAATTTTCTTGCTGTGGATTTCACACCTGATGACGATTGCTTGTGTTGCAGTCGAAACGTCGTGATAATTTTATTGTTTTATATTTTTATTATTTTATTGTTTCCCTTCTATGTGACTTCACTGAAAGAACCAAGAATATGAATCCCTGCAGTCACGAAAGCTTTAATTAAAAATTCTAATTAGAACTGTTAGATAGGATACTTGGCATTCTCTGAAATGTTGCTGTTACTGTCGTTGTTTAGACCCCAAGCGAGTCAGCATTTAAAACAAGCTTAACTAATCCGTTTAAATCTCATAGAATATTAATAACATGTATACAATTATTGTGTTCTGATTGCTGGTACAATTGTGCCCTACATTACATGTATTGAATGTTATTCAACATATGAGGAGGAGTCTGCCTTTAAGTTCAGACCCTAGCCACTGCCATAGTTGCCTCCAATCTGTGATGTCACAGCCACATGGGTGGTACCTCTGACATCAAGTGACCTACGACGTCATGCTCGTATTATAACAAATAATTAAAGTATGGTCATATGACCCTAATGACCCACAAGGCATATGGGTCCTCTATCAAGCAGTCGATTAATACAAATGGGCTGTACATGAACATGCATGTCGGGATTAGAGGTGAAATATCATTGTTAAGTCTGGTGATTATGTTTAATGGAATAGGCAGTTGGAATAAACATGTTCGTGTGGGTGGATGAGTGAGTGATCGGGCGCACACATGAGTGGGAAAACAAGCGAGTGAGTGGGCTTTTAAAGCAACAGTCACGATAGTCTTCTTGATTCTATCGGTAAAGTCACGTAGAAAGAAAATAATAAAATGATAAAAATAAAACATAATAAAATACAATGCTCACGACGTTTCGGCCACAACGCAAGCAGCCGTCCTCAGGTGAAGAATAGGGCTGTCGAAAAGACAGCGTCTGAATGAACACCACCAAGCTTGGCAGCGTATATTTAAGCTGGGTTAGAGTGGGAAGGGCGCCTTGACAAAGGTATTTGCATATCAACAGATGAATTTAGCATATTTATGGAAAATGTATATATGGGATTAGTCACTACTTGTGAAATGCGTAGGAGGTGGGGGGGGGGGTCTCAAAGTCATATTATGCCATTGCATTATGTAGGATTAGCAGCAACAACAAAAGTCACGATAGTGTTTTAGTTTTGAAGCTTTCGTGACTGCAAGGATTCATACTCTTAGGTTTTTTTTCGGTAAAGTCACGTAGGGAAAAAAAATTAGCTTTTACAATATTTATAATAATATGAATAAAAAAGAATAACTCACGACGTTTCGGAGGCAACACAAGCTTCCTTCATCAGG